GACGGTGAAGCGGCGGTAGCAGGATGTCGTCGGGGTCGGGGCTGGAGCGGCCGCAGCTGGTGACGTACGTGCAGCAGGCGCTCAGCTACACACTGTTTGACTGCAAGTGGCTGCCCCGCAGTGCTCGTCTTCTCTGCTTGGGCAGTTCCGCGCGCGGCACCGGCCTTCTCCAGCTCTACGAACTGCAGGGCGGGCGCCTGGCGCTGCTGCGCGAGGTGAGCGCCGGGGGTGGCGGGGGGACGCGGGGAGCCCCAGGGACGGGGAGCCCCAGGGAGCCACCGGGCCGCAGTCCCGAGGCAGCGCTAGTGCTGAGAGCCAGGGTCTTGTCTAGAGCCAGCGGGACTCGCTAGCGGAGAAAAAAAAAACACGATATTTGGCCTGGTTTGCGTCTTAGAATTGTTAAACCGTAATTCATGTCGCTCTGTTTGCTCACGCCGGTCTGGCATAGGCTGGTGGGGTTGTTGTCATGGTTGGCCTTACAGGGAACGCCGGAGCCTCAGTGCTCCATTCATATTTGGTTTTGAGGGGTTTGATTTTCTTCTTTTTTAAACTCAAATGGACTTCTTAGGGTTTGTTCGTCTTCAGGAATGCTCCTTTATGCATCTCAGGTGCATGAAGATGCCCCCAGGACCACAAGCAAATAGAGTTTTGAGGTTAATGTAACTGTGTAGGGATGAGGCACTGAAAGTGCATGCAGTGCTGTTGCTACAGGTTAACTGAAAGAATAGCTCGATCCTCCCATCCTTGCACACCAGCAAGGTCAGGGAAGAGCTGGGACTCCCTCTCCGTTGTATTTGCAAAGCAACAGAGACAGCAGCCTCTGAGTATCATTAGCAAGCTGAGGTGAGATGGTTATTTTTTTTAAGGACTATTAAATTGAAGTCTCTGCTCTTCTGTGTGCAGAGAAATAAACACAAATTATAATTTGCCTTTGATAGCATTTTGATTGTATTTCATGCTAAATATTCTATGTACATTTCACTGAAAACTGCCATCCAGGGACTCTTAAGAAACTGCTGCAGCCGACTGTGGTTGTGTTGCTTTTTTCCATCTGCTGACAGAATGTATCCTCTTTTAAAAGATTGAAAAGGCTAAACCTATAAAATGTGGAACTTTCGGTGCTACATCGCTGCAGCAAAGATACTTAGCTACAGGAGATTTTGGTGGAAACCTTAATATATGGTAAGCATGGATATTTAAAAGCTTTTTCGTTTGATGTTGTATGCATCTGTCTGAACTGATGTTTCTGTATGCGGCTGGCTTTTGTATAGAATGCTCTGTGCTGCGAGACGTTGGGACCCAGCGCTAAACTTCTCTGACTGCTGAATCAGAACATGCCTGTTTTGTAAAAACAACATGATTTCTCCACAGTGGTTTAATTCAGTGCTGTTTCACTTGTATCTTCTGTGTGCAGCTACAAAAAAAATTGTTAAAGTTCTTCTAGATCTTTTATTGAAAAGACGCTTTTGAATGGATGCACAAGTACAAATAAGAGCTTGTGTTCAACCTAAATTTGATGTCTAGATTAAATATGTTCTTTTAATCTTGAACTTTCAAATGTTTTTTTCAGATTGCTGAATGATTTGTATAATGCATTTGTGTAGGTAAATTGATTATCAAATAAAGTTATAGGGTCCAAAAGGGGTTGTTTATGATGATTATTCTATTTCCCTGGCCAAGGAACTACTGGTTCTATTTTGTTGGAATAGGAAGAATAGCATGGATTAGTCTCTAGTTGAAATTTAAAATTCTTGAAGGATAAGAAACAATGGGAAATAACAGCAGAACCCACAGTTGGGTGCAACTTTCATCCGAAGTTGAAGAGCAGTAGTCTGAGCTAGGTGGGGACCAGTGAATAAGGTCATTTTATAGACTTACTGAAAGTAAAGCTAATTGGAGTATTTTGATCTGTAGCATGATTAATTTTGAACCCAACATAAAAAATTGTTCTTACGGGTTGCTGTGGTGAATCCCACAACTGCATTTATGAACAGGGAAAGCCAGAACTGAACAAAAAACTTCCAGACCAGTCTAAAGCAGTAGTCAAAGAAGGAATCAAACAAAGCCTTGTGACTCTTAGTGGTGATATCCATATTTTTTTTTCACTGTTAATCTGAGTTTATATAATTTGTGCTCAAGTTTCCTCTCATATTTATACAAACCCTGAGTGTCAAGGAAAATGCCATATTATTTCTTCTTTTTCTTTCTTACCTAGGAATTTAGAAGCTCCTGAAATACCAGTATATTCTGTGAAAGGTCATAAGGAAATCATAAACAGTATAGATGGTGTAGGTGGCTTAGGAATTGGGGAAGGTGCACCAGAAATTGTGACTGGCAGTCGAGATGGTGAGTTAGTGAACTCTGGAAGCCTTTTCAGTTACTCTGAGAAAGCGGTTTGCAAGCTTTGATGGCCAGGAACAGTCTGCCATCTGAACTAGTTACAAATCTGTTGCAACTATTTCTTTATATGCTGTCTTTTGACTCTTGTTTGGGACATATTTCTTTAATTCTTTTAGACACTGTAGATAAGCAAAAGATACCATTGTCACTGAGCATGGGACAGAAGGAATACAAAGCAGAATAAATGCAAAATATCAGCTAAAGAAAACATCCTTAATGAATAGTTTTGCTTTGTATCTGTTTCATTTTTTTATGTCTGCTAAATGCAGTCTGACTTTCTGGACTTGAAAGTGGTGCTGCTATGTTTTGAATGATCAGGCTAAAAAGCAAAAGCTTCCCTGGGAAGCTGAACATGATGTGAAAGTGTATCCATAATACAAAATCCACTGTCCTTCTTTCACAGGAACCGTGAAGGTGTGGGACCCAAGACAGAAAGACACTCCTGTAGCTAATATGGAGCCTGTACAGGGGGAGAACAAAAGAGACTGCTGGACAGTAGCATTTGGTAATTTGCCAGATTATAACCACTTCTCCCTCTAATATGACTGTGCTTTGACAATTATCAAAGTATTTAAATATTTCAGGGTGTTATGGAATAGTTCATTTTGTATGGATGCATAAGTAGCAGGTCTTGCTTTTCAACATTGTCAAATCTGTGTTTTTAATGTTTTTTTCAAAAGAAGCCAATTTTGTGATAGTTGTGTTTTAGACACATTCTCTTATCACCTTTGGTCATCATTTGCATTTGGACTCTATGATCCTAAAGGTCTTTTACAACCTAAATGATTCTGTGATTTCACAGATAAGCTGTGCAAGCTTTATTTCTATGCCTAGGAATGTAAAAATGGTATATCCAGCTACATTGTCCTGAAGAAGTGTAAATGTTGCGGTGCAGAGGGAACCAATCGCTGTTGTAGCGTAGTTCCAACTATCAAGCGTTAAGGCATTAATTTAAGTGAAGATCATTTGAAGCTAAGAGCTAATCAAAGACAACAGCAATGCTTGATGTGTGCTCTGCATTTTTCTTTTGGAAAGAACAAGCTGCTGTGTTCTATACAAGCTGGTATTTCTGGATTGTAGCTCCATTTTTGCCTTGAGTCAGGGAGTGAATTTTAGAAACTGCTAATAAATGCATAGATTATAATAACAAAACTGATAGTAAGGAGAGGACATTTCCTAGCACGTGGGTGTAACCATAATGCTCAGTGCTATTGATGTCTTTGTGTTCTGCTTTGACAAATGTTAAAAAAACAAGTGGCCTCATATTTTCTTCAGGTGTCTTTTGAGTTACTGGAGCCTGAGCCAAGGGCAGGTTCATCTTGAACTACATGCCCTGAGCTAACTTATTTTAGACACTGATGTGCTTCCCTAATCCTGTTAGCTGAAAAAGTTTTTGGAGACAGGCTTCTACATTTCTCTGTATTTATAGCCACAGTAACACCCAGGGCCTCCCTACAAGTCTGTGTCTGCAGAAAAGGCTCCTTTCCCACTAACATTTAATGGTTGAGAGGCTGGTTAAGGAACTGCTGAGCTGCTTTCCACACGGGTGGTGTGGTGCTGCCTGGGGAATGTGGTTTATAGCAGATGAAGATTTAAGAGAAGGATTGTGTTTGTATAGGTTTACAAGAACAGTGTGCAGCACTTAGTCTCTGTGTTTTAGGCAGTAATTAGAGAACATAAAAAAATTGTTCATATTTTTAAAAGAAACAGACTGCCAGTTTTGAAGCTGTATTTTTCTATATCCTTCAAGTTTGAAAACCATCTATTTCATTAAATCTTAATATCCCAAAAGTCATTTTTTACTGGCATAAATAGAAGCTGGAAATGCAAGCTTAGGAGATCTGAAATTTACAGACTTCTAAAGAGGATTTCTGTATTCTGATTAATTCTTCCTCTGTGTCCAGGCAATGCTTACAATCAAGACGAACGTGTTGTATGTGCTGGATATGACAATGGGGACATTAAATTGTTTGACTTAAAAAACATGTCGCTCCGATGGGAGACCAATATTAAGAATGGGGTAAGGAAACCATAAAAATATTTTTCATTCCAGCTTCTATGCAGGATGGAAAAGTTAAAAGGACTCTTTATTTGAAACTTACTCAGAAGACATTTTGGCTGAGATTGTACCAAGGAATTGTTTTCTTTAAGTTCAGCAAATTGTGCCCCTCACATTCTTGGTCTGGATAGCATGGGGTAGTTTTCAGTTGATTCTTGTTTTCAGGTGATTTTGTTATTTCAAAATCGGTGGTGATGTCATTGTAAAAATAACTAGTGTTTAGTATGTATTTACAAGTCACAAAATTCCCATCTTCTTTTAGCAGTGGCTGAATTTCAAGACTGAATGTATTGGTTTATATTTTCAGGTTTGCAGTGTGGAGTTTGACAGAAAAGATGTATAT